ATTAAGACAAATGAAGACAAGAGACGTGTCAGCCAATCATCCAGAAACTGAAGGAATATGGCACAACTACACACTCACCAAGACATGTCTGTGTAAAAAGAAACTCTGGAGGAGCAGCAGCTATTAAAAAAAAAAAAATCCATAAAGATATTCATACATCTGGAGCTTGCTACGAGACATCAAGGGTCATCACCATAAGCAATACTATCCCCACAGCAAGTCCTGTCAGTGGCAGCATCATGCTACGTGGATGTTGCTTTTGAGCAGGAAAACTGTTCAGAGTTGATGAAATAATGGAAGGAGGTAAATACTGGGCCATCCTGGAGGAAAACCTGCTAAGGGGAATGCTAATCTGGAGCATCAAAGTGCAGCTGGTCAGTTATCATGTGTCAACTGGTACCTCCAGTCCACATTGGACGCATCTCGCTTAAGTGCTAGACAGGGTGTGACACTGAACTCCAGCCTTGTGTAGTTCTGTCAGAAACATTGACACTCCTCAGTAGAGATGTAAAAGATAACGGTTGGCTTGGTAGTTCACAATAGATTTTAGTGTGTTAGAATTTAATGGGAGTATGTCTGACGCCACCAATGTGAATTGTTCTTAAGAGGCTGCAAAAGAGGTGAAGGTTCACTTTCCAACAGTGCAACGGTCCTAAAACGAAATGTGTTAAAAAGATCCGGTCAAAATCAGAACCTGTAATATGCCTGAAAATCTGGGCTCTGACTTGAAAACGAATGTATTTGGAAAACATTCTTCGACAAATTTCAGAAAACAAATTCACTCCCAATGTTTGCAGAGCTAGAAAGGACAGACCCAAAAGGACTTGTGGCTATAATTACAGTGAAAGGAAATTATAGAAAGTGAGAAAACTGACACTGGTGTGCTAAATGCAAACGCAACGCCGCACTTTATACATTTCCATTCATAAAAACTACTGGTTTTGTGTTGGTTTACTGTATGAAATGCATAGAAAAACACACTGAATTTTGTAGTCGTAATGCAGCGTAAGTTAAAAGGTCAAAGGGGAATGGATACTTAGTGAGGCACTCTTTGTCAAATGGCAAAAGCCTGTTAAACTGAACCCTTTACAAAAAAGCTAGACTTTTAATTTCTTGGCCACGATTTGTTCCCTGTCGGCTCCTTAGCAGTACAGTCACTCAATGTTATTTCTTTCATTCTCTCCATTTCAACACTTTTTGCCAATCTAGGCCGGCTGACATGTCATTGTAGTGGGCGTATGACAGTCAAACACATTTCCGAGTAATTGCCACCTCATAACGTCATAATTACCATACACGCTGCACCCCTCACATCAGAGAGGCTTGACAATAATGGAAAAGCTGTAATGATAGGTGCGTATCATGACACAGACACACTCAAGCGCTCACACACACACACACACACACATGCAAGCATACACACATAGTCTGAAAACAACATTGTTTCCACATGTCTGCCCCAGCTCTGGCACTGACTTTTTGCCAATTCTCCTAATGTAGATATCTCCCATTTAATTCAATTAAAAATGTTAAACAACCTAATTGGAAACAACTGGCTGCAAAAATTAAATTACATAAACAACACTGCTCTGACAGATTACGTCTAATATTAGGCATCTGGGCCTTATTAGGCTCCAGTAATAGCAGCTTTACCACATAGGGAGGACAGGGCAGTGAGCTATTTTCTGCCGTTTTAGCTTCGACTGGACACGCAACAAGTAGGCAGCTTGTGTGGGTCTCTGAATGAGTGTGTGTGTGTGTGAGAATCCCACACTCGACAACAGAGTGGTGTTTATTTATCCTCTATTAGGGAAGGAGCAGACATTAAACTGAAAAAGGACCTGTTCCCCCTGTGGATTTTCTTCTTCCCTCTTGCTGGGTCTGATGAAGAACATGTGGGAATGAGACAACGTTAAAAGGTAAAAGAGCAAGGAAGCAAAATGCCAGTGAAGTACATATGTGTAAAGAAGTGTGATACAGCTTTTCACTCAGGTTGTATTTCGATCTCGTGCCACAAGCAATATTAAAATGCCGCAATATGTCTCACCGGAGCCAGGATGTGATTTTGTCAGGTGAGATAAGCCACAGTGGCGATTGGACAGGAAAATTAGGTCTTCGAGCAAGACACACTTTTTGAGACATTAATTTCTAAGTGTACGGAAGTAGACCTTTAATAATTGCCCTGTTGTATGGATGGAGTTCTCTAAAGGTGACTCTGTGGGGGCGGTCGACAACCTGAAGTTTGAAAAGCATTGAGGAATGCCTTAAGCACAATTAAATAATTTGTGATTCAATATTTTGGGCTACTCAGGTGATCAAAATGACAGAGTGACAGAGAGAGTATGAACAGTTCGGAAGCACTGATGAAATACCATGAATAGCTAACCGCTACCCTCCAAATTTGGCATCTGTTTTGGAGCCTCTTCTAAGCGCTTTATGGTTTCATCATGAGTCTTGATTGCATTTAATCATCTGTAGTTCAAAATGTAGAAAACCTGCACTGATACAACCTGAACGTGCTTTTTCGATCCACCTCCCTTGCCTCTCCAACTCATGGTCTGACCATAGTAACCCAAAAAGAAACTCTGATCTTAGGGGGGGGGGGGGGGGGGGTTTTTTTGTTTTTTGGGGACACTTGGTTTTTTGATGACAAAATTCTTAAAATTTGTTAATGAGAACAGACGTTTCGGGAAGCAAAGACATTTGGACGTAATAAAACAAATAGTAATATTTTAAATATTTCAGATAAAATCAGATAAATGAGTGCAAACTAATTCATGTTAGTAGTAAACTATGAAGATCAAAAAATGTTTTTTACCTTGCTGACCTAAACTTTTAACTAGTTCTTGTTAATAAAGATGGGACAGAATGACACCAATTTTTTTTTTTTTTTTTTTTTTACCGTCAGAAAAAGTTTTCAACTTCAGAGGGTTAATTTTCCCTTCTTGTGCAAAGAAATCTGATTGTGCAGCGTCATCCTTAGCGGAGCATCGTGTTTAATTTTCCCCCCCCAACTATGCAGGCTGTTCTGCATGCGGACTCCAGGAAGTAGAGTGGGTTGGCGAAGAGCTTCACAGTGACTGATCTGCAACAATAGGTCCAACTTCTATTCACAGTTTTCTCCGAGCTGCTACTGAAGCTGCAGTCAAGGTCAGCTCCCTGCCGAAAAACCCTCTTTCCGCCAAACTTTTCCTCTGATCTCCACCTGACACCCTGACTGTCTCTCTCCCTCTGTCTGTCTGTCTTTCTCTCCCACTCACTGCTCTCATTCCCCTGCTGTGGTTTCAGCCCATGTCATCACATCACAGTCGACAGCTCTAATCACTGTGCAGAGCGGACAGGCTGTAAAACATGGCAAGGACTGACAGCGAGGCTCAACACTCGCACCTTTCATCTGGTAGCAACACGTTGCCTCTCGCATACGCACACACCCCACGTGTACGCACATCCATAGGTAGCATGTTAATGCTTAAATATGTAGAGTATGTTTGTGTAAAACACATGTAAGAACAAACCAAGGTTTTTGATGACAAAAACCTTGGAACAGACTTTCTTACACCTCAAGAAAGACTGCTGAGTCTTTCTTGAGGGCATAGCCTTGGTTTTTATGATTCTGACAAGCCCCTGTGAGATTCTTATGTTTTACATACAGCTTATAGTAATTATTAGATTAAAACTGATCGTTTCAAGCTGTTTTTGTACTTGTTCTCCCAAAAGACTCTTTTGAGGCACTGATTGTAATATCTATTCCAAAGAGCACAGTATAAGTTATTGCTTAATAATGATTTGGAACAATGAACCCTATTTTTAAAAGAAACATTTTAACTCCTGTCCTACGGCATATAAACAGTTTTTGGTAGCCAGGACATTACATTAATATAATATCTACTTTCTATGTGAAATGAAATAATGTAAGTAAACTATACCTCTACTTCAACCTCTGCATAGGTATAGAACAGATTTTAAAACAGCAATTTTCTGCTGATTGGACGCTGATTGCTTTTGCCAACAGTTTTGGCACCAATCTGAAACAGTGTTTGTACAACTTTTAGCATTTCATTTTTTCATGTGCAAGTATAAATTTGAACCAGCACTTGTGTAGCGTTAAGGATTACGGTGGTTCTTTATTATTTTTTTTAATGTAATGAGTTACAGCTTGATTGGGGGAAAAAAAATGCAACAAAGGAAGTATTGGCAAACATCAAGCTCTGTTAATGTAACCGTGAGCCTGCTATAGAAGGTGAATGAAGCCAAATTATATATGATTGGATATCATTTACTATTTACCCTCAAGTACAGGATAACTGACCGAAATTGGTTTATTATTACAGAGACACTTAATTAGAAAATAAATGAGGGGTGAAGTGGCCTAAAGAAATCCGGAACTGACTGTATTGTCTTTCTTTTCTTTTCTAGATGTGTCATCAAACATGTTAAGTTGAATGAATTCATGATCTAAGCACAGTGGTGCAGATAAAAACATGTTCCAGCTTAAACTGTTTCATAAGAGTTTTGTATGTTTAATGTTGCTTTATTGCTGAAAGTGAAACTGTTGCTCTTTGCAGTCTTTGACATTGCCAAAATTGCCTCCTTCATTGTGGGCATAACATGCTGCCCATTAGTTTTTAATCAAGCATTCTGCCACCTAAATGTGAAAAATAAGATTCATTCTTCTCTACAAATCTAGCTGTTCTTTAAAAATATTTTCTAGGTCTGCAGCTTCTTATTGATGCATTTATGTGTAGCTGAAGTGATTCCTGCAAGTGTCTTCTTCAGTTAAGACGCCAATCAAACGAAAGCCAGGAAAATTGAGTAAATCACCTCATTCCTAAAGGCTCCCTATAGCTAGGAGAATACACTTTAACATTATTTTGTTAAAAAAAAAACACACACACACACAAAGTGATTTAGCAGCAAAATATATTAAAGCTATGCTGTCGTTATATCAAATCTTAGGAGGTTTAGCCTGTTAGCTTCATGTACTCGCCTTACTGATAGGTGGCGGTAATGCACCGTATTGTTGTTTGCCAACCGCCATTAACAGTTAGTTGTAGAAGAACAGATGGCGCGACATGGTTTAGTGTATTATTTGTTCGAACCGGCAAGAAAATACGACTAAAATTTCATTTTTAAGCTTCCCTTAATATATAAAACTTAGTCAGAAAAATTAGAAAAAGTCAAAGAGAGAGGAGGACGTACTCACCAGTCAACAAGACGAAACAAGAGGAACGTATCTCAAGCATATAGGTATGTGCTGCACACAATTACCAGAATAGATGTACCTAATGATGCACTACATCCTCAAATTGTACATTTAAAAGGTAAACGGTTCTCACCATTCTCGTTCCCAACTCGGTCGTTATCCGCGTCTTCATGTCGGCCATGACGCTCCTGATCAACAGAATCCAAATCTGAAGCGTTTTCATTAGATTGTAGACATCTGGCTGTCAGTTCAGCTTCATACTTGTATTTTTGTATGTCATTTACTCCCATAAAGCCTTCCAGCATTTCTTCATATACAAAAAAGACTCCTCCTTTCATTTCCAGTAATAAACAACCGGACACTAGCTTCTTTTTTTTGGCTGGTTGGGGGCCAGTACGTCATAAAACATGGAGGGTACCTCCGCCCCCTAAAATCGTCCCATTTCGGCATTTATTGACAAAAACACAGAAAAGAAAACTAATTATTTAAGTTTTGGGTCACATGAAAAGTTTTGTTAAAGTGTATCATATTTATGCAATATTTATATTTTGAATTTTTTTTAAGTCAGAACAATGGGAAAATAAATTAATTTTGTGATGAAGTTTTCTAATGATATTGATAGCATTTGAAAATTTTAATATTTGTAGCGTAACTGTTGTATTTACATCTAAAGCACATTGAATTGCCTTGTTGCTGAAATGTGCCATGCAAATAAACTTACCTTGCTTTCACCACATGGTTGTGGCAAACTGTAAATGGGACTTATTATTATATTCTTTTTAAAAAAATAGAGAATGTAATCCTGTCAACAGATACACTGACATAAGAATCTCGACAAGTACTCCAGAGTCACTAAGGGTCGCCTGGTAGTTTCCCGATTAGTGCTGTTTTTTTTTGTTGTTTTTTTGTTGTTTTTTTGTTGGGTTTTTCAACCTGGCCTATGAGTTTATGTGGACAGCCATGATTCTCGCACTTTGTATTTGTGCAATAATCTTTTCATTTCCAGATGAAGGCTTGAGATGCAAAATGTTGAAAGCATTGCAAGGATGCTAAAACTCTTTCTCTGACTCCCCTCACCCTCCAACCCTTGTTACTCTACCCTGCTTTATATATCTCCACAATTTTACACTGTCTGCTGTGTGTTTGGGTCTCCAAACTGCTGTTTCCTCACCAATGTTTTGCAACAAACCTCCAGGCCTTCACAGAACATTTGGTTTTATACAGAGATTAAATTACACACATTTGGAGTCTATTTACTAACTATGTAAATTAAGGGGATTGGCTGTGCTAGATTTGATTTACCGGTATTAAAATGGATGTGCAAGCCACATTTCTTTTTATTGTAAATATCACACCTCTTCAAAGTAATGTTCCATTTTGAGTTGATCTGTCTCATAAAAACCAATAAAATACGTGGAATTTACTAGTTTTCCATTTTTCAGCCAACAGTGATGCAACAAAAGTGTGCTTATGCAGAACACAAACAGATTTTAGTTCATATGGAATTAATTTGCAAGGACAGTGATAAAATCAAAAGATTAAACAAAGAAAAGAGGGCATTAAACTGTTCTAAGAGAACTTGTAATAATCAGCAAAGAGGGAACATTTTTATTTTATTTTTCAAACGATTTGATCAATATCTGCAGAGTTTATCTAACTTGTTATCAAGTTTTTTCCTCTGCTTGAATAGCCAGTGTGTTTTTCCCTTAAAGCAGTGAAGCTCTTTGTGTGCTTCCACAATCGGCAGCTTCGCTTGGTGCTTCAAAGTAAGTCAAAGCTAAAAGAACCTCCAGAAAAAAAAAAAAAAGTTCTTTCAGTGTTTGTCTTTGCAGACAAGATTTTAAAGGCGGCAATACAAATTGTTTGGGTATTTATGAATTTTGTCATTCAAAGCAGTTGAATTTCATTGAGTTATATAGGTATTCAAATTATTTTTAAGCCTGGATGAGGAGAAAGGACCTGTGCTTCTCAAGGTTGTTCTGATTGTACCTGAAGTGTGTTGATGTCCTTGTACTGTCCAGTCCTTGTATGGTCTCGAGTGTTTAGGAGTGCACGTGTGTGAGAGAGGCAGAAGGGAGAGATTGTATTTGTGCACTTCCGTGCTTGCATGCATCAACACATTAACGAAAAGAAGAAGAAAAAAAAAACATTTTTTGTTGGTTGCCACTGTGCTCTCAATACAAAAGAAATCTTAGCTCCAAGTCTGGAATTCATTAAGAACAGTTTAGCAAAGAACAAGATCAAATACTGAATACAGGTTGTGCGCCTTGAGAGCTTCAACAGTTTTACACAACCAAATGGAGTTCAAAACATTATTCAAGTATGCAAGCGGACAAAATAACCCCAAATTTGAAAAAAAAAAAAAAAACAAAAGCCGCTATTACCTTGTCTCAGGCGCAACTAAATCAGAGAATACCAAATCACTTCTGTATTATATAAAAGAAAACCACTGCAAATAGTGGAGATGGTTTAAACATCTCAAATTATTTGTCCTTGAATCTCATTAGAAGCACTAAAAAAAACACGGCCCACCCATCTAAATGTAGCCATGGGGGAAGATTAAGATGCTTAAACCACCTGAGCACAAAAATTTCATACCTTTCATGTCCATGAAACTACACTGCTTTGCAAACAGATTCGTACCTTTTGAAATCATTTGTATTTTGTCATGTTGCAACCAAAAAGTCTCAATACATTTGTCGGGATTTTGTGCGATAGAAACACACAAAGTTGCACATAATTGATTGTATGTATGTATATAAAATCTAAAAAATGTAGTGTCCATATCATTTTAGCACCTTTTCCTTTGATACCCCTAAATGCAATCCAATGCCACAAATTGCATTCAGAAGTTCCATAATTATTGAATAACAAAATTAAATGTTTTATAAATGCCACTGTGTAAACATCAGAGATTAGAGATAAGTCTACTTATGAGGAAAATCGACTGGATGGTTTTGGTTCTGTTGACCATGAGATTAAGACAAAAGCAAAAAGCGTTGACTTTGCACTGTGCCTAACATTTTCCAATATTTAAATACATCAGTGAAAACATTAAATTCAAAGTTTGTAAGAAAAAACGGATTCATCTGGATCAGCTACTGACTGTACTGGCAGGCCAAATTTCTACAACTCTTGTCTTTTAGCCTGAGGCCCCAGAACAACTATTGAGGGCTACAAACAGACTACACTTTTATGAGACTTGAGACAGGGGTGGAAGCTCACATGTTCGCAGGTTAACAACCCAAAGCACACCGCCAGAGCTACATTCTAAATCAGAATGTGTGGTGTGACACTTGAAAGCTAATGTTCATAGACACCCTGTACAATTTGATTGAGGTTGAGCTGTTTTGAGAAGGCAAACATGTTTAGTGTTCAGATGTAAAAAAAAAAGAAAAAAAAAAAAGACTGATGGAGACATACTCCAACACATCTGCAGCTGTAATTGCAGTGAACGATGGCTCTATAAAGTGCTACGTCTGGGAGGGTGACTACAAACTCTCTCTTTGCTCTTCTGCTTTCACTTGCAAAGGTTTTTGAAAACAAAGTTTTATTTTCGTTGTCATTGGTCTCATTGAAAATCCCAGTGATATACATTGAGCTGTATGGCTGTAACATGACAAAATGGGAAAGGGTCCTGAGCGCATGAATACTTTTACAAGACACCGTTCATCTTGAACTTTAATGATTACCATGGTGACTTGTGTTCCTGAGGAGTCGGGCTACGTCCCAAACGCTAACACTTTTCACTTCTCAGACAAAGACCAACATCCCATTAAAACACATTGATCGGAGGAACAACGATTTGTGAGCGTTGTACGTCTGCGAGAAAACTTTTAACAAGGAAGAAAAACACTTAGTTTCACCTGGCGAGTCGGGACTCTAACAGCTGTTCTGGAACGTAACACGTATATATAGGGGACAGTTTAAGTGATGAGCGTATGTTTTTCATTGTTGCCCTAAGGGTTCAGTGGTTCCGAAGGAGCGAGAGGGTTGAGCTGTGTGTGTGTGTGTGTGTGTGTGTGTGTGTGTGTATGTGTGTGTGTGTGTAGGTGTGTGTGTGTGTGTGTGTGTGTGTGTGTGTGTGTTTGTCAGGAAACAGGATGGCTTCAGAAGATTTATCACTGCTTGATCAGGTTGCGAGTGAGTTACTACTGTTACCCCTCTCCCCCCTCCTCTGCCCGGAGGCCAAGGTGCTATATCAGCCTATATATGACACGTTCACCACACACACACACACACACGCATGCGTGAGCACGCACACAGCAGAGCAGTATATCAGTGTGTCAGTGACAGTCTCTGTGTGTGTCTCTCCCATCATCTGGCCATTAGACAGTAATGGCTGGGATAGGAGAGTAGAGTTTCCCTGTGGGCTCAATACAAGAGCATTTATTACACACAACAGAAGCAGCATCCTGGCCCTGCCATTCAGTGGAGATGGAGAAAAAGAGGACAAGAAGTAGGGAAGAAAAACTTACACCTATAAAGGATGAAACAAATCAGAGAGATTGCATGCTTCTAGCTTCATGAAGTTAATCCGAATCAGCTTTACGCAAAGGCAGCGTTTAAAATAAAAGTTAGCAACAAAGAAGTAGAACACTTTTGTGCTTTAAAATACACAATCGCACAGGGTTTTGTCTTTTACAATATGTGTACAAGAATAAAAAAAATTAAAATAGTTTTTAGAGTTATAGAATGATATGGAAAATTATTTTTCTTTATTGTTTATTCCTGTTTTTCAGCCTTGTGTCATCAAAACAAGTTGTGACTAGGAGAAACGTAAATGAATGAGGTAAGTGAACACGTGTTGAGAGCTGTGGGGGGAAACGAAAGTCTTCATTCCCTTTTCTCGTTGTCACAGTTTAAAACATTTTCAACCAGAAATGTCAATACATTTTTGTGGGATTTTATTTGATAAAGCACAAAATTCTGCAAAATTGTGAAGTGAAAGCAAGTAAATTGATTTTATGTGCTTTCTACAGATTACATCTAAAAGAATTGTCTCTAATAATATTTAAAGAATACTGTACAGCACATTGGTGCAGTTAATAGCTGTTTTAAAGTGCTTTATAAATAAATTGACGTTGACATTAATGCCCTAAAATAAAACTCAGTGCATTCAGGCAACATGTATTTGGTAAGGAGAGTACTCTGAATAGGACTGGGTGAGTGAATCATGGAAAATGACTGAAATTGCCTTTTTATGTGGTTATCTGACATTTCCAGGCCAGTTCTAGTGAAGCGCCTGTCATGTGGACATGTTCAAAGTTGAGGGTGACTTTTTGGAATGGAGCTGCCACCCAGGTTAATGTCCATAAAGTTACCCAGTGAGTGTCCATTATAACAGACATAAACCCAGTTCATGCAGACACGCAGTGGGAGACAGAAATCAAAATATGTAGATCACCAAAGAACCATTTGGTGTAGAGACAGTCTTTGGAGAATTTAATAAGAGAAGGAATCACTTTAGGCTATGTTCTAGGAAAAAGTTGACTTTCTGTTTAGTAAATATATTTTTGCCTTACTTTGCTGGTGGAAGAGGGCTGGCAGAGAGAAAGAAGAGCTTGAGGTGATAGTGGTTTGAGAGCTTTCAGATTTCCTTGTTGATTCTGAAGGCGATGGTTGGAGGTTAGAAAGTCAGGTGTGTTCAGGTGCTGCGACTGACCAGAGTTGTTGGTCTGTGGTAGACTGTGCCACATTAAGCCTTGTGGGTTTGGTTTTAGGTTTAAGACTTCTTCGCTTGTCAGATAAGAATCAGGAAAGCTTTAGCCAGAGTTCCTGGCAACCTGTTTACCACTCCTGTCATTTGACAATCCAAGTGTCAAAAGACCATTTTACTGACCATTTTATAGCGCAGCTTAATGAATGGATTGGAATGAGCAGCATAGTGGAACAGTCCCACATTATCACTCAGATTTGCCAAACGTCCGTGAGAGGGCATTTCAGCAAGAACGTCATCAGTTGATGTCGTCTTCATTTGAAAACATTCGACTGTAGTCTGAAGTTTGCACATGTGAATCTGACCAAATCCCTTACGATTTAATGGAACAATGAGGATCTGATTAGCCGATCCCAGGGTTGGATGAAATCAAACACAGTGGATCAGAGGAAATTCTTCATGCCAATAGAATAAGAGCAGTCTTGAAGGGGTGATGAATTAGGCCACAGGACCTGACAACTTTGCATCTTTTTATTCAAGAAAACCAGATGAAAACTCCAGAGGTAGAACACAAAAGCTCTGCACTAAAGGCCTTCTAAGCCAAGGTTAGAACTGGAGACCTTCTTGCCTTAAGGTGCCAGTGTTAACTGATGCACCCCAATGCCCACCCTTAATATAATACTTTCGAACACAATAGCAAATTTGATGGCACATAATAGATTCCTCCTTGTGCTCCTGATACTGTTGTGACTCCCTGAGCGAGCCTTCTCTGTAACCCCCACAGCAGGATTAAGAAGCATGAAAAATAAGGTTTTCACATGCGGGACACAGGGATCTACATCATGTCAGCGGCGCACAAAACATGAGCGGATGGGCTGTAATTCCCCAATTTAAGTCCCTTATTTCCATTTTGTCATGTCTGAGCGCTTGTCATGCTTTTGAACAAACATTGACATAATTAAAATGCAAATGCAGTGTGGTGGTGCTGGAGACAGACCGAGATCTCTAAGCTGATATGCACACAGAAACAGACGCACAGAAGGAGAAACACACAAACACAGGCAAATCCTTGCAGAAAACACACGCAACCCAACAATGAAGGTTAAGAAGAAATCTGGTGTTGGAGGGAAATACTACAGAGGACCACGTAAGTGGGTTTTTGTTCTTCCACTCTGAGAGCACTGTTGTACATGTTGGTATGTGTGAGTACGTCCATAGGCTGACACAGGGCTCCATGGGCTGCAGGCTCCCAAGGCCCTGGCCTTTATTAAGAGCAGTTGTTTGATGAGAAAAGGAGCCGGCCTTCACTCCAGGGCCTGGCAGAAGCCTGGGGAGTGGGTAAGTGGGTTAACCCAGAGGCCCAGACAAAGCCAGAGAAATGGATAAGTGGGTCACCCACCCTCACATGAACACTCAAAGGATCCACTCTTACTCCTCTCCCTTTTATTATTAGAGTTGGTCTAATGTGTGAAGGGACCTCAAGAAGGAACACAGCACTCATCTCTGCATGAGCAAAGAGAGCTTATGTGTGTGGGTATGTGCTCAAATGGATGCATGTGTGAGTCAGTGGGCATTCTTGAGGCTAAAGCAGGAGAAAGCTGTGGTCCTTAAAGACTCTCAGAGCCAAAGCGTACCCAGTTTAAGGCTGCTGCTACACCGTCAACAAAAAAACGAGGAGACTTGAACAGAAACAGAACCTTTATATCAAGAAAGTGCTACATGTAAAAAAATAATAATAATTGTGGTTTTGTTTATCAGGCTTTGGCAAAAAAAAATAAAAAAAAATTATAAATGGTAGAGTAGTTTTTCTGGATTTTTTTCCACTTTTTTTTTTTTTCATTGTACTGGACTGCGCTTCCTATAGGCACCAGCTGGAGAAATAGAAAGGTTAAGTCAAGTGACAAAAATCATGAGCTACAAGTTTTGGTGAGAATATTTAGTCTAGCATTGCTTTAGGCAAGGTCATCTGCTTCTTTTGGATTTTAATGTTGTTAATGACACCATTAGTGCCACCTACTGGTGTACCATATGCATTTCAAAAATATTGATTAGAGTTTGGCAGACAATGAGGTCACAAATTGATTTATTTTTCAAATTCAGTTTGAATAAATACATGGAGAAGTGTAGCTGGGGCTTAAGAATTATGATGAAGAGTGATGTGGCATTACCAGTAAAAAAAAAACTACTAAAAAACTGCCTGATATTTTTCAGCATTGTTAAGCAAAGCAGTTCATCCAATATTAATCTAAAAAGACATTCTAATAGAACAAATAGCATACAAACTATAACTGAGTTTAATTTAATTCATTAGTGCGGCATAATAAAAAAGGCAAGCAGCTACTCTTTTATCTAGCTGAATTCATTTGGCATTCACTTTGTCCAAACAAGTCATTGTCTGGGGATTAAGCAACTGGCAGGTTTATTTGTTCGGTTAAGGTTAATTCTAGCAACATGGAGAAGTTGTCCATCAAAAAATCAACGTTTATTGTAATATTTGTGTTCACTATGTGAACAATAATTTAATACAAGAGAAACGTCTGAGCTCTCCTTACATAGTAGCCGGCTAAAGTTTTGTCGATCAATATAAGGACATAAAGTTAGAATCTGGACAGCCTGAGTCTGAAGAGAATATTGAATGAATGAATGAATGAATGAATGGATGGATGGATGGATGGATGGATGGATGGATGGATGGAGTAACAGAAAATATATTTCCCCTCTATTTTCTAGACCATTATATTCTATGATATGAAGTTACATAAGCTCTATATAAAATTTGTGATTATGGCTTTAAAAAATGGTCCTTTGTCTTCAAAATCTGAAAGGACCATAGAAAAATAATTTTAAAAAAATGACTTCTGTTATTAAATCAACTGATGGACCAAGGCGTCAACAGACAGATGTCGCCTTGCAAGACTAGTCAGACTGTAAAAATATTCACATTTTTCATATGTGATAGACCAATACAAATCAGAATGTTATTGTGAACTTGAAGAACACATGAACATTTTTGAAAGAGCGTCATTGGAAGTCCCATTTACAGTTTTCCGGACACTAGAAAACATGCAGGAGAACAGGATCTGGTAAAAAAGAAACCTGGATAATACCTGGATAATTCCCTCTGTTGAAACATGGTGTTGATGGTATGATGCCGTGGGCCTATGGAAGCTAGTCGGAGCTAATGAGAAGACAGCAGGAGGTATAAACCGACCAATCCTGGAAGAAAACCTTTTAGAGTCTTGAAACTAGGGCAGGGAGTTTACCTTCCACCTTGACAAGCCTGCACATAAAGTAGAAGGCACACTGACCCCTATAAGACTTGCAGCTGCAGCAAAAAGTATAAATTCAACAACATGAAACACAAATGCATGGCATATTTTTTGGATATTTATCTGTAAAAGAAAAAAAATAAATAAATACAGAAGCATGTTTTTTTTCTGTCTTTTGCAAGTATGCCAAAGTATGACAATTTTTTTTCAAAGCATTATTAACTGATTAACTGAATGTGGTTGAGTTTAACTCTGGGTTTGTTTTTTTTTTTTTTTTTTTTTAGTTTCGCTTTTCATTTTTCCATGAATGTACTGGGGTAAAACTGCACAGCAATATGAGGCTGCACACAACACCATGCATACGCACATGTACACACAGGCGTACACAATCACACCACAAAAAGCAGCAGATACCAAGATCAGCAAGAGGATCAAGTGTAAAGTCTTTTGTGTAATAGAAAGGCCTTTGATGAGGAAGAACACAAACAGTGTAACCACACCGACATAACACACACAAACACACACACACACACAGAGCCACAAATCAATTTGCTGATTTCCTGCTGGCTGTAATTATGTTCTCACCACAATCGCTATAAGATTTACTTCCATGCATCTGGTATCTGGTAGCGTCGAGTTTCCTGACATTTGTTAGATTAATGAATGACTGTTGCTCCTCTAATTCGGAGCGACTGGCAACATGCGTGTGCATGCACAGGCGCACACAGGGCAGGGTTCCCATACAAACAAACAGAGAGGCTTTTTGTATTCCGGTGCACATCGCCACAACACAGATCAACAGTCCCTAAGGTAACGGCCAAAATAAAGATCTCATTACTTCACTCTCTGCCGCGCTCTCCGTGG